GATTCGAATTCTGTTCAACACAAATGTGAAGTTAGTCAGTTCTTCTATACGGGTCAGGAACTCGCACTGAGCGTCACGGAAAGGATTTCCAACAGGTTGAATACTTTTATCAGCAGCTCCCCACTTCGCTGGCTCCATACTGAAGATCTAATGGCCGGAAAGAATCAGTAACAAGAAACTCTGGCTGGGAACAAACCAACCCTTAGCCGATCTCTCAACAAATGTGTAGGATTAAAGTAAAGATGGATTGGGCATACGTTGAGGAGGCCGTCGAATGATTTCATGCTCAATACAGGCCATCGCTTGATTGGAATCCGAATGGGAAGCAACGAGTGGGTAGTCGGTTGAAGAGTGACATGGGGGAGATGGTGTGCGTTGAAGGAGGAGACGAGAGATTATGGGGAGTCGTGTGGCTAACCAGCCGAAGAGGATAGCAGATAGTAGTACAAAGTGGAGATGTGTTGTTGAAGCCCTGTGTTCCACTTGTAACCTAAGGGAATAATAATATTATTATAATAATGCCTTAACATACAAAACAAAGTTAGTAATGCATACGATTGTGATACTTGTATCAGATTCATATTGTTCTGCTTGTTATTTTTTACTATTCATCTCGTGTAATTAAACGAGAAGGAGTATTGTGTCATCTGTAGGTGTTCTTTTTCGTGTTCTTCTTTTTAAGTTGTTTACTGTCTAATGTCACACTTTATTAGCAGCGATAAAATGGCGATATTTTTGTATGAATACGCACACCAGAGTCAAAATACATTACAAAATGCATCTCTTAACTCTTTTAAACAGCACAGTTTAACTCTTTCATGAAGTGAATTTCAGTGCTTAAGTTTTGTCCGTACGCATATTGCAATTACTTGGTGTTTGGAGTTATGGGGGCGACCTAGTTCATGGCGAGGTTCTAAGTGAGACCATTAAGTGTTGCTTTTCAGGGATTTCATTGGTTTGAAGTTTGATCACGAGCTGACGCTGCGTAGAAAACCAGTGGAAACCAGGCTGGTGGAAGGTGTATATCGTGAATTTTGAAGAAATAGTCACTTGTCACTTATTCGAACGGAGTGAGAAAAATAAATATAAAAGGATAATATGAACCTGATATAAGTATAAAACTTGGGCACTGTGGTAGAGTATAACTCCATAATGGTTAAGATTTTATTTTGATAAATCACACAGTGTTGTACAGTTATATTAACTGATGACGTTTCAAGCACAAACTATTGCTCATAATGATTATGCTCATATGATTATGAGCAATAGTTTGTGCTTGAAACGTCATCAGTTAATATAACTGTACAACACTGTGTGATTTATCAAAATAAAATCTTAACCATTATGGAATAATATGAACTTATCTTTTATGATTTGGAGGATTCGACTCAGCTGGCTACAACCTGAACAATTCAGAAGATATGTAAGCCAGATTAAAGATTTGAAGATACAGTTTTCAAGATGACAAGGAATAACTGGTAGGAACTAAGGGTAACATGAGTCCGGAATGATTTAAGCTGTTTAATTATTAAGAGTTAAGACGACTGATTATTTATTGGATAATTACACGAGTATATTTGAAAAAAACAACAGTGTTCGGCAGATTTTTGTGGGTAAAAATAAAGTTTAACCAGAAGGAGTACAACAATATAATAGGCTCTGTAACTACAGAAAATATGCTTTTATAAAATGGCAAAACATGGGAGATAAGATGAGTGATAAAAATAAAATTTTTCTAAATAGGACAGAAAATGACATAATAAAACCGCATATTTTGTCGTCATCAAAGCAGTGCAAGATTCACCACTGTCTGTTTCTGCATACACAGACTTGGTTTCAGTCGTTTGTTGCTGATGTATCACCAGTTTCTTCCTTCTCATTCAGACTGGAACATAGGGCTTCAAGCTTCAGCTTTGAATTTTCGGCAGCGTTGGTGTTTTTTACGATTTTGGGTTGCTGACATGCCTTCCCTCTTTGTCGACTTACGACTAGTTGAAGGAGGTAAATGCGTGCGCTGACCGGTTAGCCAACTGCGGATGACATGCATGCTTGGCGGACATCCTACAGCTGAACCACTGACGCACTCGGAGGCAGCTGCCTTAGGGAAATGTAGCAAACTAGATTTTTCTTACCTGCCGATTATTTTGAACGTCTTCAGATTTTCCAAAATATATGACTCTATCGTTTTGTTTCCAAGCCTATCTGTCTAAATGTTCTATAAATAGTCAACCGTTTTAACTCTTAATTATTTAACGGCTTTAGACGCAAGTTACTCTTACTTCCTACCAATTACTCCTTGTCATCGTGGAAAACGTATGTTTAAATCTTTAATGTAGCTTAAACATCTTCCGTATCGTTGACGTTGTTTCAATTGAGAAGATTCCTCGAAATCATAAAAAGATGACTTCATATTATCCTGATACATTTGTCTTACGTGCATTGTTCAAATTTGTTAATGAGAAAAATTATATGAAGCTTTTGAGGAGATGTCACTTACTCGTTTAACAGTCGAGAAGAAACCTGGTTGCATAAAATGAAACCAAGAATTTGCAAGCAACTGAGTCTTAAATTACATTCAGACATCTATAAAACACAAAATAATTGAGCAAAGAATATTTATACAATGAATGTCTTGATGAGGAACTTAATAATATTCAATGGTTGCTGAGTGAAAATGGTTATCCAGAAAAGTTTATTGGTAAGAATATGAATCTAAAATCAAAGCAGCCCTAGGCACCAACAGTTCCTACAAAGGCCTTATTCTTACAAATGCAGTTCCTTGGGGACAACATCAGCGAGATACTAACACAACGCCTTAAAATTGCGGTAAAAAGAGCATTCTGTGCTGCTGAATTACGCTGTTTTCAAAACCACTCCTCTTTTGCGTTCGGGAGTAGAAGATAAACTGCTTAATTTCGCCTCTTCCATGTGGAGCCAGTTACATAAGCCGTACAATTAGGCGTATTTCTCGTTGGATTTCCGAACATCACCCTGTGTGATTAAGTAAAGGACAAACAAAATCCATTTGTAGCGCTATTCTATCTCAACTTGTGGATACAGAACACAAGATTGATGTTAACCAGGCTTTCAGAGTCATTTAGCGCATACGAACAATTCTTAATTTAGTGTTCGATTACTAAATATTGCTTAGGCCGGCTGTTGGGATCCATATTAACAAGCCTAATTTGTGAGTCCAAAAGAAGTTAGTTCAGACATTATCCTTACCTTGACCATCTAGGTTTAAATGATCCTGAATTTTTGTGGAATTTTCCTAATTTTAGTTGACATTCTATCTGCTTCTGTATCTTTATCGTTATTGTTATAACTTAAGCATCTCTAATGAACTGTAATTCCACTGATCTTACTTTACGAATCGGTATTATTTAAAAAACGCCAATATTGTTATTGACTACTAATCTAGAATATTCTATGTATATAAACATATATATATATATAACTGTAGAGCCAGAAGAGGAAATTATCGAAAAGGATATACTTTGCTCTATTATTTTGTGTCTTATATTACAGTCTTTTGGGCTGCAGATCTGAATTCCGTCAAGATCCAGGTTTTACTTTTCATTGTAGTAGTAGTATCCGACATCTAAACGTAAAGCTGTTTCACTGATTTATCACTAGGAGTAGCGATTGTTTTATGTTGTTAATTAGTTATTAGTAGATTGAAAATCCCCATTGAGTCATATGAAAAAGAGAAGAGTCTGTTCGCTGAATGTCTTCTCTTTTTCAATTAGTTATTAGTACCTAAAAATTCTGCAGTATAGTTTCACAATGCATTTATCAAGCTTGTGAAATAAGTTATTAGCCCCGTGAACTCTGAGTTTATGTTGGATGGTTAGAGATAATCGGCATGAAGTCGCTGACTACCGTTCCTTGCTGACTGGCACTCATCAAAGCAAAAGGCGTCTGCAAACTTGAAAGCGTAGGTCTCCACAGGAACTGGCATGGAATCGTGCTCTTCTCCACGCCAAACAAAATATTAAGTTGTGTCATCCTGCAGTGAGTAAAAGATGCACTGAATGCAGACCTCTTGTCGGAACAAGCTGGATTAAGAAAAAAACAAGCCATATACAGATCAGACCGCAACTTTACGAATCATCCTCAATGAGACAGAAGCGCATCACTCTTGTTAGATTTTGAAATAATGGAGAAGATTTATAGTTCAGGTGGATGATTTTCATTTAATTGCGATTAAATGAACCAGCTCAGAGAATACAACTAAATAAAAATCTCCAAAATTGTCATCCAGCAGAGTATAGAATGGGATTCAAATCTCTACCTCAATTTCATCGACTTTGAAAAGGCTTTCGAAAGCGTTGATCGTGAATTGATTCGGAAACTACTTGAACACTGTGGAGTATGCCAAACTTTCATCAACCTCATTTGACAGCTGTATGACAATTCCATATGTTCTCTGTAAGCCTTCGAGTTTATTGGACATTAGAAATTAATCCTCCGCAAAGCCCAAGTCTTTTAGAATCTTCCTATCAGTCCACTACAACTAGGAATATCATCAGTGATAATAGACAGCCAGCTTGTCTTACTCCTGTATTCATTTCAAACGCCTCGCTGACGTTTCCATTGCGGATCACCTGACACGTTCCATTGTCATATAGCTATTGAGTGAGATTGATAAAGATTTGGATACTGCACGCCATAGTCTTGAAGTAATTTTCAAATTAATTCTCGGTTATACGCTTTTTCTCTCTCTCTATCTTCATTTTTATTTACAATTTATTCGTCCACTTTTGTATACATACAAACTTAATATTTTTCTTACCCTAAGGACCCATATCACTTTGAAAAAGAATGTGCTTTGTTGTGCAACTTTAAGTACACCACATTCATATGGCATATCATTCACAAACACATTCTTTTTTTCACTTTGTTTTGTTTTGATATCAATATTCTGTCCAATCAAATGTTTTCTGTTCACAAAATGTTTGTATAAATAATGACTATTTGTTTATTTATTTGTACCTCGTATGAATGAGATTCTATTTAGGTAAGCAATGAACTTTATTGTGTTCAAGCTCACTCATTTCCATTTCATGTTAACGTAGAAAAAATCAACAACAATAGACAGGTGCATTCTGAGTATAAAGGAAACTGATCATTACTACTACTACTACTACTACTACTACTACTACTACTACTACTACTACTACTACTACTACTACTACTACTACTACTACTACTACTACTACTACTACTACTACTACTACTACTACTACTACTACTACTACTACTACTACTACTACTACTACTACTACTACTACTACTACTACTACTACTACTACTACTACTACTACTACTACTACTACTACTACTACTACTACTACTACTACTACTACTACTACTACTACTACTACTACTACTACTACTACTACTACTACTACTACTACTACTACTACTACTACTACTACTACTACTACTACTACTACTACTACTACTACTACTACTACTACTACTACTACTACTACTACTACTACTACTACTACTACTACTACTACTACTACTACTACTACTACTACTACTACTACTACTACTACTACTACTACTACTACTACTACTACTACTACTACTACTACTACTACTACTACTACTACTACTACTACTACTACTACTACTACTACTACTACTACTACTACTACTACTACTACTACTACTACTACTACTCCTACTACTACTACTACTACTACTACTACTACTACTACTACTACTACTACTACTACTACTACTACTACTACTACTACTACTACTACTACTACTACTACTACTACTACTACTACTACTACTACTACTACTACTACTACTACTACTACTACTACTACTACTACTACTACTACTACTACTACTACTACTACTACTACTACTACTACTACTACTACTACTACTACTACTACTACTACTACTACTACTACTACTACTACTACTACTACTACTACTACTACTACTACTACTACTACTACTACTACTACTACTACTACTACTACTACTACTACTACTACTGTAACAACAGAAGACAAGGGCCAGGCAACAGATCGTTTATTACGAAAAATCAACACGTATTTATAGATTTTTATGTACATTATTGTAGGTCAATGTTAGTAGAAAATACAGTCTGTTGATTGGTTGTTTCTCACACAAAGTTAACCTTGCATCTCTGGTGGCTGTGTCAGTTCATCTATATGTTAACTGTAACCACCTGTCCACCTTGACCTTTGACCTCAATTACTGTCAACCAATTTGGCCAGCAACCATCTCTCACCACAACATGACTAATATTTGATACATAAACATTGACCTCAATTACTGTCCACCACTTGGCTAGTAGACAGCTCTCACCACACTCGTCCCCCCGTCAAATAGTTTGGACTGAAGTCGGCTCGGTCTTCTCGGTTCTTGGGGCTTTGCTCTGTTGTCTTGCTGTCTGGAATCTCGGGGCTTGCGGATGTCCACTTGTTTAACGGTGTTCACCATTGCGATTGTGTCTGCGTAACCCCATATCAACGTGACCATATATGGTCCTTCCCACTTTGGAAACTGTTTGCCTGACCCTGTCGCACATTCGTAGGTATTTCGCCTCACACTTCCATATGCTGCTTTCTCCCGACCTCCCAGCAGCGTCCCAAGTAGCAGCCTCATCGCTGACAGATCTTGAACGCCACTCAATTGCGAAGAAGCCTCGAAGTCCTGCCCGAAGATCCATATGTCTCCATCAAAAACTGCAGGGCATAGGCTTTCCATTTGTCGGTAGGCAGCGACACCAAATGTAACAACAGAAGACAAGGGCCAGGCAACAGATCGTTTATTACGAAAAATCAACACGTATTTATAGATTTTTATGTACATTATTGTAGGTCAATGTTAGTAGAAAATACAGTCTGTTGATTGGTTGTTTCTCACACAAAGTTAACCTTGCATCTCTGGTGGCTGTGTCAGTTCATCTATATGTTAACTGTAACCACCTGTCCACCTTGACCTTTGACCTCAATTACTGTCAACCAATTTGGCCAGCAACCATCTCTCACCACAACATGACTAATATTTGATACATAAACATTGACCTCAATTACTGTCCACCACTTGGCTAGTAGACAGCTCTCACCACACTACTACTACTACTACTACTACTACTACTACTACTACTACTACTACTGTAACAACAGAAGACAAGGGCCAGGCAACAGATCGTTTATTACGGAAAATCAACACATATTATAGATTTTAATGTACATTACTGTAGATTATTGTTAGTAGAAAATACAGTCTTTTGATTGGTTGTTTCTCACAGAAAGTTAACCTTGCATCTCTTTGTGGCTGTGTCGGATCATCCATATGCTAACTGTATCCGCCTACGCAAAGCCTTTGTTCCCATTTTCTCACCAATATTGGGGACATAAACATTGACGTCAATTACTGTCTACCAACTTTGGCTAGCAGCTAGCTCTCACCACACTATTACTACCGTTGCTGTAACGTGACACTTTGTAATTTTGGTGTCTCTGTATTGCAAAATTAGGTACACCTTATCTTCAAATCGTCATTTGCACAGATCACCCGCGTTAGGCTACTTCTGAATTTCGTATTGTGTTTCTTTGTCTTATTTTCATATTTTCCGTGTTTTGCAGCAATACACTGGTTCATTTGCTTTCTTAAACGTTAAATCTGTCTCTCTGGCATTTGATTTTTTTATGTGCTGATGAACGTCTCTCTATGTATTGTTATTATTGTTCCCTTGGGTTCCTAGTGGAATATAGGGATTCAACTGCACATCTCCACTTGCTTCTGTCTTCTGCTGTACTTTTCACCTGCATCCATGTTAGTCCATACTGTTTCAACTCCTCTTCACATGATCTCCTCCATGTCACCCTTGGACGTCCCACTCGCCGCTTCCCTTTCGGGTTCCACTCGAGCTATGGCCTGACACGCGATGTCACCCAGCGGCCTCCTCAGCGAGTGTCCAGTCCATCTCCACTTTCTCCTGCATATTTGTTGGGCGATTGGTTCTTGTTTCATTTGTTCCCATGGTTCCTTGTTGGTGATTCTTTCCGGCCATCTGATCTTCAGTATAGAGCGAAGACAGTTGTTGATAAAGGTGTGCAACATACTGTTGGAAATATTCTTTGTGACCCGCCACGTTTCTGATCCGTATAGAAGAACTGACTGACTTGACGTCGTTTGTATTGAAAATCCGAATTTTGTTGTTGATGCTGAGTGACGAAGATTTCCAGATTGGTTTTAGGTTGATGAATGTGTGTCACCTCTCTATGTACTACTGATAAATTTTACCAGTAGCATACGGATCACTAATACTACTACTACTAATAATAGTAATAATGATCATAGCTTCATTCTAGAAAAGATGTGTTTACATAGAATACAGAATTTTAATCGAGTTCCATTGCGAGGTGTTTACTCCTTGTGTAGAGTCTTTAGTTAATATAATAATCGATAAAGATCATTTGAATCAATATTGTTCCATTGGATGTATGCTTCAATACTACTGCACGATGTTCTTCGTCGATTTCTTCCGAAAAATTCATAGAAGTAGGTAGAAAGCTGTTTGAAATCATGCATGAGTATAGATTGCGACCTATTGTGGCAGTTAGAAGATTAGAACAGTCTGAAATGGAGTAAAAACGATGCATTTTCATGGGAGAAAATTTATGTAGCCCGTAGAAATTTAAGCATGCCTCAACGTTTTTCCTACCAATACATCATGTAATATAAAAATCTGTGAGTCAAAATACTGTTTTTCACTAATCTACCTGTTATGCTTTCAAAAAATCTTACATAATGCTACACGGGTGAAAATTGCTTTCAACACTTGAAAGTAAATGCACAGAATTAAGTAGGCGTCTACAACTTCATATGTATTGTCGAAAAAACGCTCCAGATATTGTCCAATTAGTAACAATCCAGTGTAAGCTTGTGTCTGTTTATAACTGGATTTAGTTGGCTTGATGTTCAAATCGCATAAAGTGATAGAAAGGTCATGGTTATTAAGTGACAAATATTGGAAGTGGTCAGCAGTAAGTTGAAATAGACTAGAGATACTCTGAGTGGACATTCAAATTATATCTCACATCAGTCCCTAGAAAGGAACCCAAATGGGAAGCAACGAGTCCGATGTTCAAGGTTGACATGTTAGACATCATGTGAGGAGGAAATGGCAGCATGTGGGCAGTCGCTGTTAATTCCTTTCCTATCTGTCCTTTGTTAATCATTCTTTTGTATTAAAATTTATACTACTTACTAGTAGTAAGTAGTATGAGTATATTTATTACTTTGAACACTGTAGCAAGAAACCAAGGTCCAAGACTTCCTACCGATTGCCTCCAACCACGTCATAACAGTTATTCAGAGTACAGAGTAATAAAGAGCCACCTAAATTGGTGGCCATATTGAAAACTTGACTGATAGGATTCACTTAGCATCAAACAAAAGACTAGATGAGTGACACGAGCTGTTCACTACAGTTTTCAAAGTAATAAATATACTCATACTACTTACTACTAGTAAGTAGTATAAATTTTAATACAAAAGAATGATTAACAAAGGACAGATAGGAAAGGAATTAACAGCGACTGCCCACATGCTTCCATTTTCTCCTCACATGATGTCTAACATGTCAACCTTGAATATCGGACTCGTTGCTTCCCATTTGGGTTCCTTTCTAGGGACTGATGTGAGATATAATTTGAATGTCCACTCAGAGTATCTCTAGTCTATTTCCACTTACTTATACATATTTCGATTATAGGTTTTGTGGAGATGTGGGATTAATTTCAGTTGTCAGATTTTAGTCACGAACTAAAGTCGTTGGAAACCAGGGAACGATGCATAGCTGTTTCGTCTCTCAACCTTGGAACTATTCAGCAAAGCACGTCAAAATATCTACCAGGGAGCGAACCTAGAACTTTCAGGTAACGAGATCAAGCTTGTCGATTATTCAGCCACTTAGGCTGGATTTCGACAACCCATGAATTCTGACTTTGTCTGCTGGGTGACATAGCTCTGGCTCAATAATGCTGAGTTTGACCTCTCGAGAGGTCGTGGGTGAATACTTCTGGAGAGTCTCGAAATAGGACAAAACAACTGTCCAGTAGTTTTCAGTGGTCTTCCGAACTCATGGTGGTTTGCGACGAAAATCTACAATCAAAATATTTGTTACGCAACACCTTAGTTATCCGACTAGGGAATTTTTTCTATAGTTTTCAATTCATTTGATAAACTTTATTAAATTGTTTCATTTTGTATTCGATTTTTTTATAGATATAAATGGAAGACTTAAAATATCAAACGGCTAAAAGGCAAATGTCAAAATCTAAACAATTTTTAACACACTATCGATTGTTAATGTGGAAAAATTATCTGTTGCGTAAACGACGACCGGGTTTTCTTTTCGCTGAAATCTTTGTCCCATTTATTATCCCAGTCATTCTTGCAGTAATACGAACTGAATCACCACCAAAACCGGAGGATGTATGTCATGTACGCTCTACAAATCTGCCTACAATGGGATTATTCAGTTATCTACAATCTGTTGTATGCAATTTTCTCTTTCGATGTCATTCTACAGATCCTGATACAATCTATGAACAGTTTAATTACAGTGGTTTTGGCAATTTACTAGAAAATATCTCTACTGTATTTGAGGATTATTATTTCATGAAAAATATGTAAGTATTATGTAAGTTAACTATTATCTGGATTACTATAATAAAAAAGGAATGATGCTTATTCCAATTAATCATAATTATTAAACCATTATCTTAACTTAATCACAACATTTCTAGTCAGGTTGACGAATTGATGTTAGTCTGTCATTTTTAAGTTGAAATCAGTCAAATCCGTTCATCAGAGAATGTCTACTGCAAACAGTTCTTGAAGTTGTAGTGAAAAGTCACATCTGATGGAGCCCACTGAGTCCGCTGTTTGGATAACTACTCGACGGTGACCTTGGCTCGTACCAGCAGTATACATATGGCGAGTTGGTGGAATTCAGAATCCATTAGCTACCCAACCCTTCCTCAGTGAATGAAAGGTAGCGTTGATTCGTCTCTCGATCTAAGGGTCATGGTTCTGACCATCAGTGGCGTCAGGGTTACGTATTTTTGACGAGTCCCAAACTAGGAAGAAACAGCTGACAGTACTCCATGAATTTCAGTAGCTATTTGGTGAATGTCACTTCATACTCTAGTTTAAAATCTCTCATATACTTGAAAAAGATACACTTGAAAAAGGATATATCTAATTCTTATTAAACTTGAAAAAGGCTAATGATACATATATTAGGTAAATGTTGAGAGAGTATTTATTGACTAAATTCCATATGAAGTATAATTACAGAGGTGTGTCGTTTAAAACTAAAATAGAGGGATTATTAATACATTTAAAGATTAAGGTAAATGTGTAAACCACGAATACAAATAGATTTGCATTATTAAGCCTCCTACAATCTGGAGGAAAATAAAGCACTGTTGTTAGATGATTGGAGGCAATCGTCAGAAAGCCATCCTTAGACCTAGGTTTAGTGTTTGTTTGCACTCATCAGCAATGAGCAACTACAGTCTAGGAGAAATTCATAACCCTTCTGAGACTCAAACCCGGGTCATCCACTACGAAGTTCAGACATTTCTGAGTTGCCATTGATCTCAACCACGATGGTGGTTATGGGTTTAATCCCCTGCCGATGCACTCCTTTACCTCGCTAAGGCAGTAATAAGATTGGTAAAGAGGGAAGGTTGGGTATGAGGCTAGCAACCCCATCCCGTAAAAATAAATACCACTGCTACAGAAACTTCAAGCTTCTAGTTTGAAGTCCTATATTTCACTGGGAACGTTGAGGAATAAAAACAAAAGAACTATAGTGGTTACTTTTGTTGGACACTAGGTAGTAACTAATTTCATGGGTGTAGTTATTCATTTGGTGCTGACTCATTTCTATCAGTCAAATTTGCAATGTGGCTCACCATCACAGTGCACTTTATATTATTGCTAGATGGTTGGAGGCAATCGTAAGGAAGTCATCCTTAGTCCTAGGTTTCGTGTTTGTTGGCATTCTTCAGTAAGGTGTATTTGGTGTCTTCAAGGAACTCTCGTCTATTTCGAGGTTCAGAATTCCATCGTTGAAAGCAAGAAGGCAGTCGTCACCCTGATGAAACTTGACTTAGTGTTGTCTAAACCGCGGGAACAGCAACAGCTTAATATTTCCCCTCCAATTTATAGGAAATTATAAAGAATCTCTGGGGAATTTAGAGACCTTACTGGTTAAGACAGATTAATTCCTGCTTACTAAAGTTACAACAAACAGTAGAAGCAAGATTGAAACTAAACTGATTAGTGATCAATGTCATCCTGAAAGAGATCTGAGAAGTTGGCTAGGTGCACGACAATAGTCATTTGCCTGTAATTTTTAATTAAATTGGATAGGATAGCTAAGTGTTTTCCTTAAAAAAAATCACATTCTTCTAACTGTAATATTTTCCTATGTTGGATAGCTTAATTTCTTCTATATTTACTTATGGAGGAGTCGTTTTCTTTAGTTGTTTCATTCAAGTAAACATTCAGTGGAATTTTTAATTAAGGTCTGAACAGTAAATTGTTGTTTTTTAATTAAAGGACAGGCTTCTCGATTCCCAGTGGCTACTTGTACATTTAACTAATGCTTAGTTGACAGTTGGCAGGAATCCTAAAGCCTAGGTATCGTGCTTATCAGGAAATATCAGCAAGGCGTCTAAGCAACCTCAAATGAACTGATACTGATTGTGAAATCCAAACCCTAGTCATCTATTATGCGGCTGTTGGCGCCGAGGACTGTCGTGGAAACACTGATTCATGGATTTAGTCCTTAGATGTGGTGTTGACTAGATTCTATCAGCCAAGTTCGTAATGTGGTCACCAAGATAGGTGACTGCCTATCACGGTATGTGTTCTAAGTGTTATTGTCTGAATCAGTCAGTACCTACCGATTGTGAGTCTTAATACTAACTTTATTAAACTTTTTGAATTCAAAGCTTTCAGTTAACTTGAGACTATACATTGTTTCGCTTCTTATTTATTTATTTAACAAAACTGTTTTTGTCTTTATTAGAACAGAAGGCCTGTCAAATTTCAGTATGAATAAATTTGTACAAATAATTAAGAATTCTGATGACCGAATATTTGAGAAAATCGCAATTCTTACATCCAACATTCAACAACTCTATCAAAAGGCTTACAGTGGATTTTATGCACAGAATGAATCTACAACTCAAAATACTACTAGTGACTTTGATGATTTAAGTAATAGAACGATTGATTTAGGTCCATTGAGTATAACAGCAAAACAAATACAATGGTTATTGAATACATCTCAATTCATTTGTGGAACAAAAACACCTGAATCAAATGATATTGGAAAACTTATGGAATTTTTAAAAGACGCCAATTTTTCGAATATTATAGAACTTGGCGAAAAATTAAAGCGTATTCGTCGTGAGGCACCGGTTTTAAATTCACCCAATGTAAATCAATTTGACACGAATTTCTACAGAGTCAACTGTTCTACAATTGACAGTATATTGCGTAATCCTTTTTTATCACGTTATACTGGACGGATAAGATTCATTCTCTACGGTTACATATTCTATCATCCAGTCAATGAATGGACAAATGAAATCATATATAGGGCACTTGAACCACAACGTCTTTTAATTTTACTAAAGAATACACTGAAACAATATGAAACGCATACTGCACCAATGCTAATCCAATTACTGACCAATACATCCTATACATATCAGCTTAGAACTATGTTAAAGGAGTGTAGTACAAATTCTGGAAATGCTATACCTGCAAATATCAAAACTTTATGCCTTAAAGCTTGGTCATGGTTAGACCCGGAAATCCCCAATCAATCTAATCCAAGTGGATATTTTTCTCACTGGTCAATCATATTTAATCAAATCAGTGTTATTTTTAATATTATTGCACAATTATTAGACTGTTTCCCATTGAATGCTCATACTTATGGGGTTAGCAGCCGATCAGATTTCGATAACTATATGGGATACTTTAAATCACGTGTTCATCCAGTTGTACAGGGGATTTTATTCAACAACACTGGATCCGATTCGTCTTCTCCAACATCGTTTAGTATAACACCGAATTCATCAACAATAGTTACAATTCGACAAAGTCCACTGCTGACAGATGAAACAAGTGATTTTAAAGTTTTAGATCATACATGGAGTCCAAAACCACGTAATGATGTCGACGGTGGAGATACAAAGTATTTCACTAGTGGATTCTTAGATATACAAGATTTAATTAGTAATGCAATTATTGAATTATCGAATAATTTACCGGAAAGAATGGAACGCGCCTTCACTGAATACGATTTATCCTCCGCCTCCTCCGCCTCGGCTTCCTCATCTTCTCAATCTCCAGCATATTTGCTAACACCTGGGAAACAAATGAAATTTTTTCCAACTGCATCGTATTCAAATGATATTTTCTTAAATGATATTTCTAAACTTCTACCCCAGTTAATACTACTCACCTGGATATTGACAGCCATGTTGACAACAAAATTTATTGTTGAAGAAAAAGAGAATCACACGAAAGAGTTTACAGCTATAATGGGTTTTACAAATTTCATACATTGGTTAGCCTGGTTCTCAGGGATATTTTTCATCGCATTGCCTGTGACAATTATTATTTCACTTATTTTAAAATATGGAAATATTATAATTTTAAGTAATATTTTTATAATTATCTGTTTATTTCTCTCCTATATTATTTCAATCATTATGTTCTCTTTTCTATGCTCAACATTATTTAAACAAGCGAATTTAGGCGCTATTGTCACTGGAATGTTTTATTTTATTATTTATCTACCGACACCGTTAATATTAGCCAATGAAAAGTTCATTAGTGAGTCGGTTATCTTCATTGCATCCTTGTCAAATCAAGTCGCTTTCTGTTTAGGCTTTTATTCATTAACACGATCTGAATCACAAGGATTCGGTTCTCAGTGGAATGATTTATGGCAGCCTAAATTTAGTGATACATTATTCTCCCCAGGAAAAAGTTTTCTTATGCTATGGATAGATTCAATTGTTTATTTCACTATTGCACTTTTAATTGAAAGGATTCAATCAAAAAAATATAATTATAATAATTATAATATTAATAATCCACGAAAATGGTTACGTTCAGCGCTCAAGTGTCCTTGTCCCTGGAAACTATCAAAACAAAGCCATCGATACAATGAAAGTAAAAGTTCTGATCATGTTAAAACAAGCCCTAAAGATGTTTCAAATTCTAATGCATATATAGAGCTCAATTCTGAATGCTTACCAGTTGGCATATTTGTTAAAGATTTAAGTAAAGTTTATGCTAAAAATGTTGAACCAGCATTGGATAAATTAAGCGTAAATTTCTATGCAAATCAGATTACATCACTACTAGGACATAATGGCGCGGGGAAGTCAACTTTAATCTCCATACTAACTGGTATGCATAAACCAACCAATGGTTCAGCAATGATTGCTGGTTACAGTGTTCTCGATCAGATGAATACTATACGCACTAATCTAGGCTTCTGTCCACAGCACAATATACTTTTCGAGTATTTAACTGTCATTGAACACATTAAATTCTATGCCTATCTAAAAGGTTTCAATAGACAACAAGTAGAGCTAGAAGTAGAGTATTTCGCCAATCTTCTGGGCTTTACAAATAAATTAAATGATCAAGTGAAAAAGTTATCTGGTGGTCAAAAGCGTAAATTATCTGTTGCTATAGCATTTATTGGTGGAGCTTCTGTTATCCTATTGGATGAACCAACTACAGGCGTTGATCCATATTCAAGAAGATCAATATGGGATTTAATATTAAAGGCACGATTGAATAAGACTATTATTCTTACAACACATCATATGGATGAAGCGGATATACTCGGTGATCGGATAGCAATTATTTCACAAGGCAGACTTAAATGTTATGGATCTAGTTTATTCTTGAAATCAAATTATGGTCAAGGTTATTACTTAATCTTAGAGCGTGGCAGTAATAAATTATCCGATGAAAATTCAACAGATAGCTTTGAAACTGAAATCCTACTGGATGAAGAATTTGAAAAGATTGTAAGTTATTTACGACAGTTTATAGAAGATATAAAATTAATTGATTTCAGTCAACACGAAATTGTATTTCAAATTCCAATGCATAATGCCTCTGATGGTTCATTGAGTCGAATGTTCAAGTACTTTGAAGATAATAAATCACTCAGTGAACATATTTCAGTCCCCGATAAACTCCATGAATGTGGTATAATCAGCTATGGATTAACTGACACATCGCTGGAGGAGATATTTCTTGCAATCGCTGATGATCCTGCAATGTTGTCATCATCATCATCACCATCACCTTCAGGATCTATTGCTAATCTTTACGATGACATTGGAACAACACCGAGAGAGACAAATTATAATGACAATGAATCGAATAAAAATGTAAAAAACTGCGCTGAATTGAATCAGCCAATAAAGCATGATTATTTTGTTCGACGTAAATCACAAATGAATATTCTACGACGAAGTCATCGTTTATTACACTTTACTGATGGTGGCCAGCTTCCCACACCACCGACCTCGTTAAGTCTACTTCATCGGAAACATTACTACAGGACAGTTAACCTGCCATCATCATCGTCAACACCGTCAGCCGCAGCAGCAGGAGCCGTAACAGCAGCATCCGAAGAAGAAACAAATACAAACTCACATGATTTCATTCAAAATGTAACTACCAGTATCGAGTTGAATCAACCAAATATTAGACAACAGATTAAATCAATGTTTATCAAACGTTTTCATCATAGTAAACGTTCAAAACGCAGCCTGTTCATTGAATTCCTCCTACCCGTATGTGTTCTAATCTTAGCTTTGGCTTCCTCACAATTATTCAAGAAATTTAAAGCCTATCAACCACTGGTTTTAAGTCCATGGCTTATGTCTAAGGGAAGTAATCCACCGCAAACATTGTATACATTTTATGAAAATAATTTATATGAATTAAATACACCCACTGAAAGCTTAATAAATTCAACAGAAACACTTAAATCTATTTTAGGCATATCATGGAATTATGAAAATGCTTTAAAACAACCCTATGGATGGACTGGGATAGGCTGTCTACCGCAGTCTACATTAAATGATATGCGTAAGCATTATACTCTGTTTGGTCAATGTGATAAATCCAATATTAGAATGATTAAAAAAGAATTATCACCGACTGAAATAAATATGACAAGATTTAAACAGTCCAGGGACTGTTTAGGCGAGTCCAAATGTCCGCTATATGAACAACCAAGTTCCAGTGTACTGTCTACAACAGATATTTTATTGAATTTAACTTCCTTTAATATATCGAATTACCTATTGAAAACACAAAATGAATATATACGAAGAAGATATGGTGGTTTAAGCTATCATATGCATAATTATCCAACATCTTTGAAACATTTAAACTATCTTCTTCATCCAGAGAACTCCCTGATATTATTTTTAAATAATTTAACTGGTTTTTATAATTTTAATAATAATACACTTATAAAACCAGATAGTTTTTGGTCAGATTTTACACAATTTTTACGCCTATCTCTACCGCCTGCATCCTATTTTCGTATATGGTTTAATAATAAAGGCTATGCCTCATCTCCAGCCTATTTAAATGCCTTGCATAATTTACAGTTCCGTATGCTGATTAACAATCAAACCGGTTTACATGAACGTGATCATTCACACGGTATTATATTTATTAATTATCCGCTAACATTACCAAAAGGACATGCTGGTAAAGGTCTTCCAAAAGAATTACTTTTTGACTTAACGTTGTCAATTTTTACTCTGTTGAGTTTATCATTTATACCGGCAAGTTTTATAACATTTTTAGTCAGAGAGAAGTCGACTGGATCAAAACACCTTCAATATGTATCAGGTTTAAATCCATATGTTTATTGGTTATCTGTTTATCTTTGGGATATTCTGAATTATGCTTTATGCGCTTTTCTATGCATTCTGGTTTTTGTAGCCTTTCAAAAATCTGCTTATATTGACTTCGAAGTTATTGGTTCATTTATATTATTAATTCTATTGTATGGTTTAGCTGTTACACCTATGCTGTATATAACAACATTTTTTATTCAATCACCGAGTACAGCACTGGTGATATTGTCTATTTTTAATCTATTAACTGGTGCTATCACTGTTGTCTGTACACTAATTTTGGATGATTTTTCAAGAAATAAACCTACTATTGAATTTATTAGTAATATATTAAAAATTATCTTCACGCTATTTCCACAATATTGTTTAACTCGTGGATTATTCGACTTGGCTAGAAGATATTATACTCTTGAAATTATACAAAGTATAACATTTGGTGGATTGCCAAAATCATCACAGATTGCTTCAACATTTGCTACAAATCCGTATGATTGGAATGTACTTGGCAGTAAAATATGCGCATTGCCAATTGAGGCGTGTGTATTCTTCTCACTGGTATTATTTCGTGAAAGACACTTTTTTATACAATCAATAAAAGATTATTTTCATACACATTATCCTAAATTATTACAAGTGCATAATATGAAATTCATTCGGAAACTTAGTCGAATGAAATCATTGAAAAGTATTCATAGTGCTGAGAATGATTCAGAAGATGAAGATGTTAAAGCTGAACGACTTCGTGTTGAAAAAGTAAGTAGTATGTGTTTGTGTATATATACCCTTTTTTCCTCTCTTTTAAATGATAAATTATTAATTTTTATTCTTTTTGAACAAAGCAAGAACTACAGTTATAGCAGAATAAAATGGTACCATCTTTTATTTCGTTGCCTTCTCGTCAGCTGATTACAGGGTAAAGACATTATTAAATTGATCTACAAAAACAACTTTAACATACTTGCACAGAGTTCATTTAAAAAAAAATCAATCGATCAATATACGCATACACATCCATGGTACACATTAGCAGTAGACGTTTGAATTCCGACTCTGGCAGTGGGAGAAGATCAGACTGCTGACAAATGATCTCAGTAGTTTCGTTGATTGGAATTACTGTGAACAAGGAGGTTACATCAAATGATACCATGAACTTATTTAAAACATTCATGTGGTTCACACTTTCAGAGAAATGAAATGAGTCTTTCATAGTGTACAGGCTTAGCCGTTGACAAATAGGTTCCAACTTCTTCGCAAGCCAACGTGCCACCTTATGTTGGGGCGAGTTGATCATCGAAAGTACAGGTTTCAGGGGGACTTGTTTTTTGTGAATCTTCGGAAGGCCATATATGTGTGGCGAGCGGGACCCCCGGGGTTTCAAACCACTGTACGCATTGTTGTCAATCAATTTCTTCTTTAGAAGATCTCTCAGTGCGTTTGTGATACGTTTTTCGACAGCATCTGTCTTTTCTTTCTGGCAGTTGTCAACTTTAAACCTCAGCGGGTCATTTAACACAGCTTTCATTTTTGCGATGTAGTCCTCTTTGTGCATCAGCACCACTCCTGAGCCTTTGTCAGGTCGCAGTATAACAATTTTGTTATTATTCTTGAGAGCTTTCAATGCTCTTAGGTGCTCTTCAGAAAGGACTTTTGAATATGACATTGGAGAAATGAGGTATTGATTTGCAACTTCGACGAGCTTAGATTTGAACCAGCTCTTCTTGTCATCATCAACTGGAGTGAGGTCACTCAGCTGATAGAATAAGTTTTAGAATTGAACTTTTAGGCTTTACTTTCTATGAGTTTTGAGTGAAACATTTTCATTTGATTTGTCTATAGTTGACAAGCTTCCATTTTATTTTTACTTTCGGTTAGTCTGCTTGTTACTTTCTTTTCACGTTCCATTTGACGATCCATCAACAATGTTACTTAAAGTTATTTTAAGCTTATTATTATTATGATTATATCCTTTAGTTCCTAGAGGAACATAGGGCTTCAACCGCGCGCCTCCATTGAGTTCGGTTCTCTGGCAATGTTTTCACCTGACTCCGCGTCTGCCCACATGATTTCATCTTCATTTTCATTCATTTCTCCGAGAGCTTCTTTTCCCATGATGAGTTTTCTTCCTGTGTTGTCTGGTCCCAGTTTGGCGTTCACGTCTCCCATTAGTATTTTAATGTCACCGAGTGGAGTATTGTCTATTGTTGTCTATAGCTGTTTATAGAACTCTTCTTTCTTTTCGGGATCTGCGTTGTTTGTGGGCGCATATCATTGGATAACTGTCACTTTCCTTCCTTTGGAGTTTAATCTGGCGGTATGTCATTTTCCTGGGCGAGATTGCCTCCCATTGTATCAGGGCCTTTGTTGCCGTTGGTGACATCATGATAGCCACACCCTCGATGTGCTCGTGGTTGTCTGCTGGATGACCGGAGTAGATCATCGACTCTGCCGTTGAAAATTTGGTGAGTCCATTCCCATTCCATCTGCTGTCACATATTCCCAGTACTTGAATACCATATCTCTTCATCTCGTTTGCAATCTGGACAGCTTTGTCAGTCTCATGCATAGTGCGGACGTTCCATGTCCCCACACAAACTTTTTCTTTTGTCTCAAGGAGACTTATCGTACTGAAGTTTCTGTAGAAGTTTTGTCTACAGGGTGGGATTGCTAGCCTCACGCCTGAGAAGGGGGGTTGTTACTTGAATACATAGTTTACAGAGGGGCGACTTTATGGGTTGCTCCCTCTAGAATCAGAAAAACAACAAGGGAAAATAAATTCACAACAGGAAGAGCAGCGACGACAACAACAAAAATAACTTTAGCAGTAGTATCACTACCAAATACAGTTAACGAAAACGATATGAAAACCATAGACTCACTGACCTGGGTCAACTTGGGTATGTAAATCCAACAACATATACAATTATTGATATTGGTTAGTGTTAAACAGTCACAATATACCAAACAGTTGGTTATAGTTATTATAAGCTAACAAGATTATGTCCACAGGTTCAGTGTTCGAAAGTAAAATAATTACAATAAATTCCACAACTTCCTGGCCAGAAACTCTGGAGAAGTAAGAGTTTAATGTAACTGAACAAATGTAGCGTGCTAATCGAAAGGCCTTTTTAAGCTTATGTTCACAGTAAATACTAGCGGTTATTTATTTGCCTGAGACTGTTCAAAGGATCTAAGATGAACCTTGAGTTTTTTTACAAAATGCAAGCGAAGTTAAACTTTAAGCATCAGAAGGCAGTAACACATAAATGACACTGGATGTGTCAATCGCACGAAAAAGGTGATTGTTGTGTTTAATAAATAATGAATAAAAAGGCGTGTAGCTGTTATACAGGATACCCTTCTCTGATATTTAACAAAAATGTCTCCCACTTCTGTATTGGAGTGTCAGTAGAGTAATTCAACTATATTCTATACATCTTTGTCTACATTCATTTATATCTCCTAACCCTAACGTGGAACTATCCTCAAACTAATCCTAATCTAACTGGAATCAACTATACTATCTCCCTTATTAGGTTAACTTAACCCTAATTTGTCATTAGCCGAAACTTTAACTAAATCTTCCGCAAACCTAACGTAAAGCTTTCCAGATATACTATTTTACATCATGACACTTCATTCAGCATATTGCATTCGTGACTGTGATGTATTATTTGCTTGGTTTCACTAACTTACTGACTGAGCACTTCAAGGACATTAGCGCGTTCTCATTCCTTTGGTGTTTATAGTTTCGCCTGACTAAAATGTGTATATGTGTGATTTGATAAATGATGTAGCTATCAGGTTTAGAGTTTCAATTAAAGTTTAGTATATTATCTCGTCCTATAGACGGAAATGAGATTGTGAAACTAGGTATACGTTTCTACTTTATTATTGTTCTGTGTAAACAGCTTTTAATACTTACCTTCAGCCTTTAATAATGTGGAGGTTATGTGAACCGAACTCAACTAAATTTTCAACAAGAAATTTTGTAGAAAAATGAGCCACTTTAAGAAGAGAGGTGAGGAAAATAACGAGTGAAAAGAAACGATAATTCACGGAAATAGATTGGATGAAGAATAATTACATGCAGAATAATGCGATCTTGTTTTCACAGATGTGTAAAACACTTGGGCACTGTGGTAGTATGTAATTCCATATTAATTTATTTATTAGATATATCACACAGTGAGGGAGTATTAGTATTTGCTGGATAACGTTCCAAATACAACTTATTGTTCATCGTCATATCATTTGTTGGTGGTTCAGCGGTAGGACACTTGCCAACCACGCACTTGGTTCGGCGATCGATCCTCGGCCGATACACACCTCAACCTTGCTAGACCGATAGTTAGACAGGTGAAGAGGGAAGGCTGGGCATGAGGCTAGCAAACCCGCCGCGTAACAATAAAAACCACCGCTACCGCAACTTAAAAGACCTAGCCTGAAGCCCTATGTTTAACTCGGAACGTAAAAGAATAAAAAAGTCATATCAATCATAAATACACAACTTCAAAACCTCTGTTTCATAGTTTTCTTTATTCTTTCCTATTTGTCATAGGAGTAGTAGAACTTGCCAGATGCCTGATATAGGTGTTCAGTCACATTTGTTGCATGTATTTTTAGTTGATTCGATAAATTCATGAAAAATTCCGGTTCGGACATTAATAGAGAGAAGACCAGTAGTTCAGCGAAGAGTCTCTTTTCGACGAATTTATTTTCTTAGCTGTACAATCGCAAATATATATGGGTCATTTTGTGTGTATGTGTACATTAAGTTTGTCAACCAAAAATACAACTGGTTATGGTTATTTTAACTAAACAGGTAAGAATTAGCAAGTTTTGGGTGGAGTTACGTAATACAAAAAGTATTCAGAGGAATTGGATGTTGATATATGAGGGTAGTAGCAAAAGTGATGAGTTGTCACCAATGATTGTTAAATAAGAGTTGCGTAATAATATGAATAGTTGGATGAAAGAGTTGTGCTTAAGGTGTCGATGAAAACCAAATAGCATACGGAATTACGTAATAGTTTTAAAGGAATACAAGAGTTTTACGTAGTTAGAAAAACAAGCAAAAAAGCGAAAGTTAAGTCAGATCAACGCATAGTTCTGGTTCTTATAACTAAATGGCTAGGGCTTCTTCAATGCAAAGCAGACGAAAAGGCATTGTCTTTGGCAGGTTGTTCTTCACTTTGTAGATTACTTTGAAGGGGGAGGAGTTTGTTGAGATGGAATGACCAGTGGTGACGATATGGTCGATTATTGCACTCATTATACGGCCACTACTTCCTTTCTGCGACCACGCTGGATAGTGTTCTTTGACCCTTTTTGACAGGGTGCTGGTCGAACGACCGATGTACCTGGCTCCACAGCAACAGGTGAACTGATATATGCACACAGAAGTGATTAGGTGGGAGACCTTGTCCTTTGGCCTTCTGCAGATCAGCAGGCGACTGGAGAACACTACTTTCAGTGTTGCCACGAAAGAAGTTCTTCTTGAAGAAGTGGAAATTCTCCTCTAAAGAATATCATTGAGTGGGTCACCTTTGAAGTCGAGGTTCATATAAAGTAACTTTTTCGGCACCGATGGCGTCTCTTGCTTTTGGATTTTCTGTTTGATGTTTTTGTCTATGAATCTATTTAGATAAAATAACCATAACCAGTTGTATTTTTGGTTGACAAACTTAATGTACACATACACACAAAATGACCCATATATATTTGCGATTTTACAGCTAAGAAAATAAATTCGT